AGGCTCTGAAAATCTGCTGGATGGTCAGCGATGAGTCAGGATCTAATGTTAACAGCACTTAACAATTATCTTCTGGTAGCATAGTATGCAGCATTTTGTGCTACTAACCAAAACGTCATCTGTCTCCAGCAGTTCAAATCCACCAGAAGCTCCACAAGAGAAAAATGGACAGTCCCTAACCTTTGAAATTCACAACTTAGAATCCCAACAGGTCACAATAAATTGGAACTGACTTGATGGCAGTGAGTTTGAGTTTCATGTTGTTGTTAGGCGTCGTAAAGTTTATCGCAACTCACAGCAACCCCATGAGACTAAGAACTGCCCTATAAAGAGTACAGCCTAGAAAACTCTGTGGGGCAGTTCTTTCCCATACAGTCTCTTGGTAACTATGAAAGACAATCTTTCATTAGCAGCAAGTACTTAAGCATTGCTCTACCAGGGCTGCATCATATCTTTAGGTGTTCTTAACTTTCTTTTCTTTTTAAAGTAATAGGAGCAAAGGCTACTAAACCCAACTTAAACAAGTTAAAAACAAATGTAAAATTGACTTTTACCTTTTCTGGATTGTAGTGAACTGTCCTTTCCACTGTTCTCCAGGAACACTACAAAAAAAGATGAAAAATCAAATCATCACAAGAGTAAATTCCTAGACTTAACATTGTGAAAATAACAATATGATCAAAAGTGATAAGCAGATAAATGTAATACAGTATTAATCCAGACCTCATTGTCATTCTTCAGAGATGGAGAAAAGTAGTCACTGACATTATAAGGAAAGGAAAGAGACCTCAGATAAGCAAAGCACAATTGAAATAGAAAAACAAAGTAGGAAGTTTTGCATTTCCTGATCTCAAAAGCTACCACATGTTCACAGAAATCAAAACTGCCTGACAGATCAACTGGTACACAAACCAATGGAAGAGAATAGAGAACCCAAGAATAAATCAACCCCCTGTGAACAACAAATTTTTTTACAAAGAGATAAAATTTATTAAGTGGGGGGAAAGACAGCCTTGTTACCAAATAGTGTTGGTAAAATGGGGTATTTGTTTATGGAAAATAGAAACAAGGTTCATATCTCTTTTATAGTCGGAGATAGATTGAACATGCAATCAGGATGCACTGATAATAATGGGTGACTGGAACGCAAGAGTTGGGAACAGAGAAGAAG